TCTCTTATATATATATATAGATAGATGGCGTACTCTTCTTAGAAAAAGGTATGCAGTTAACCTAGATGTACAGTTTTAAGGCCCAGTACTCAGGCCCATGTAAATTACATATAAATTTTAGTATAGATATTCTATTCTTATACAGTTATTCTACAACCATCTACTAGACAATCAAAAAAAAGTAAAAACAATGAATCTACCTGACGCATTATAACTAGAGCCTCAAGATCGCAAGTCAAGATAGGCAAAAACTTAAAACCACGGGACCTACGAAGTAGTCTCTGCCAACTTTCGGTTTTTTCATCAATTAATTTATTTACTGATGCCATCGTCTAAATTCTATAAATACCATCTCAATTATAACAGAAAATACTATAACATTCCCAGAAAATGCCAATAAAATCTCATTACAATTGATCACAAACACCAATTCAATCTCATGTCAAAACTACAAAAAAGGCCATCAAAAACATTGCAATATTAGCATACTACATTGTTTAAACTGTTATTAGCACGCACCGGACACATGTAAGCAAATGCGGGCGCCTTAAGTAGCTCATACACCCGGATGGTCTCACTCTCGGCTCACCAAAAGCACTAATATTCAAAACACATTTCGTCTTGACGATTCAGCGGTCATTCGAGTCGTGATCGGAATGCTCAAAGTCGTAACAGTGACGAAAATGGAACACAACAGGTCCCTGTCATTTTGTTTCGCTTTTCTACCCCAATGTTGTAATATAATAATCGTTATGTAGCGAGTGACGCCTCTTCTGATTAAGAACAGCTTCGTATTTAATGAATTATATTTTATTTCTATCTATTTTTATAATTAATTCCTACAATTGATACATTTATTAATCAGTCAGTTAAAATATTATAATTTAAATACAAATTTCTTAACATTATAAATGCAAAAGTCTGTAATTCAATCACGCCAGTACGGCTGAACTGATCTAAATATAATATTGCACAAATAGAATATAGTCTAGAATAGTACATCAGTTTCTCATACGAGACAAACGATTAACAAAATAAATTCATGAATGCCATTCTACTAGTGTCGATACAACAGAAAAAAAGTAAAACAAAACATTAGTGACTGCCAGTACGAACAGATGCATACTTATTTAAAAAATCAGACAGGTTACTAATTAAATTCCATATTAAAATTAAAACTACAACCGAAAGCGCGGGCACATTTGGCGTACCATGTCAAAAACATGGCGGAACAAAAAAAACTCGGCATGAGTGTCACCGATTGACAATTAGCGGAATCATCCCGACTGATCCGAAATTTTCATCGCATAATTGTCACTTGATAATTGAAAAACGCAATTACGGACGGCAAGAGCGTAAGTTAATTAATATTATATTCTGAAATAATCGCCCCACCTCCCCCCTCCCCCGAGACAGGGGACGTGGACTGATTGAATTATAGGCAAATTTTGAATTTTGAATAATTCACGGGAGTGAGTTAGCCCTTTATGGCGGGAGGGCCTGCATTTTTGGTTTAATTAATCTGGTTATTGTTTTTGAAACGGGTTTTGTGTTCTATCATTGTTTTTGGTTAGAGTTATATACACATACAATGTTGTCAGAGTAAAAAAATTCTGAAGATTGTATAAATATCCTTTCACTGATTATATAATCATAAATGCAAGTCTTTCTTACAAGTAATTACTATGACCCAATAATAAATGATTTATTATATCATCCATATGTTAATAGAGCTATATCTGTTAACTTCTTAACCTTAGATAGGCAGTACTGAATCGTATTATTTTTTCCACTCGTGAGAGATATCGCTCGTTGACACCAAACGATTTACAATCCGCAACATATTGATATATTATGCAATTAGTTATTCGCGATGGATAAATGAGAAAAAAAGTAAATATAACATCGGCTACGGCTCCTAGTTACAGATCAGTACGGATACCGCGGCTCCACAAAATTCAATTTGGCCAGCATTTACCCGCCGTGCGACAAACCAAACAATTACACATACGTGTGTGTCGAAAGCATAATTTTACCGCAAAAACTGCGTGGAAATGTGAAAAAAAAACACCAGCGCTGACGCTTTGTTAGTTTTCGCGCCAACGCGTCGGCCATTTTTGACAGCTGTCAAATGCTGTGCTAGTGATTGCGTCTTTTGTAGTCACACCTTTTTCGAGACACCGCAGTATTTTTTTCACGTTGAAAAAACTCAAACGTCCTATTTAAATATTTTAACGGGAAATATGAATAGCACAATGTAATCCCACACATTACGAAGCGCATAGGAATATGAAAGCGATAAAACGAGATGCATCAGCGATACTGCATCACAATCCTGTCTCATTTCAATACCTATTGTGAGGTCGGCGCTAGTGTTGTAACGTCGTAACGTCCCGGTCTACGGACACCCATCAGTCATTTACGAATGAATACATGACAATCGATCGAGATACGTAAGGTAACATGTCTTGGTTGAGTGACGAGTGATTCTCGCGCCAGTGACGGATAGCCGAACGTTGACAACGCAGAGGCAGCTCTCGCGTCGACTTCTTTTTACAAATTTCAAGCAGAAGAAGTTTGACGCGCTATAGTGATGTGACGATGTGAACCTGTCAGTTTTCAATTGGTTCTTAAAGGGTGTTGACGTGTCCCGTCAGATCTAGATCCGAAGTGCGGATATGTTAATTGTTGACGGAGAATTTTCATAAATAGATCCTTGATAATTATTTCTACTGTCAGTTTAACAATTAAAAGAGACTAGGTGTGTTAAGAAATTTGAAACTTATACCTATGAATTAATTGTATGTACCGATGAGAATCGATTACTAAAACGATTACGAGCATTTAGTAGGCTTGCAATAGTAAACATCGTTAGGTATGTGTGGCGCATTGGAGCGATGCGATATATCGTAAAGGATACTTTTTGTTGAGCAGTAAGAAAACCATTTTATGATCGTTAAAATTTACATATTTAAATGCTACCTACACGGACGGTCGAAATTATTCTAATAGTTCTACGATGAATCACAATTTTATATCCATTACTGTAGCATTATAACATGAAGTAATGTTTTGTTTTCCTGGGTGGGTATCGAAGTCACGATCTCTGGCTCAGCTGTCAAGACTGCTAACCACTAGACCAACAGACCAGACAATGATGAATATGATCTGTAATGTTCTGTGTCTAGGTGTAATTTATCTCTACTATGTATGTATTTAGAAATATGTAAGTATGGCGGCAACAGACATATTACGTAAGTACGACCATAATTGTAGTTAGCAAAAAGTGGGAGTTTATACACCTCTGCCTAACTCTTCTGGGATAATAGACGTGAGGATATGTTCTTTTTTTTTTTTTAATTTACTCATTTAGAATTGATATTCATATGAAATATGGCACAAGTATGAAAAAATATGGCGAATAAAATTTAGTGATCGAATGACCTCGTTACGTTTTTTAGTTCCAAATGTAATTTATAGGACGGAATAAATTTCAAAATAAATGGCAATTAATACGTGACTTCTAATTATTTTACTAACAAAGGTGCTTATTATTAAATTTGTGTGCAGCCAACGTACACAGGGTAGGCGTTCTTAAGGAGTAAACTCCAGTCGTGCGTCGGCGCTAACACACACACTTTTTTTTTAAAGTTCTCTCGTAACTGTAGATTCATCATCCTGTGTACTTTAACATACCTAGAGTTATACAAATCTACAATATCCCGTCTATACTGTCAGTTATTTTAAAACTTTTTTCAGCATTCATTGTTTTCTACTAGAACTTAAAGAAAACAGCATTTTCTGACTCTCGTGATATAATTATCACTAAACATCAATTCTTACAGTCTTTTTAAAATATCAGCGAGTAGTAAGTAAAATAGATCTTTTATTTCGAATGTATTATTTAATACATATTATAATAAAATTACCATAAGCGGCCATTACGTCCAAAATTACCGTGTTAGAATGAATTTTCTACATATTATCACATTAGCCTGACATTCAAATACTATAATTGTACAATCTATGGCTAGCAATATTTATGGCAGGAACTTCTAAAAAAAGTTCTATCGCGTATCTCGCAGTTTACAACACGCATGCAACAAAAACAAGTATATCCACATTAAAAAATATATAATTTCTTTCCTAATTATGAACAATTAAGCTAATGTGTTCAATAAATTGAATATTTTAGTTGTTGTAGCGTATTCTAGACGGATGTTGGTGTTTTGATCCATCCTCTAATGTAATACCAACTTCCCTTATTAATAAATCAAACGATGTTGTGTCGTCGACTTTTGATTGGCGTTCGACGTCGTTTACAATGTCTTTAGTACGAAGTTCCAAGATTTGCTGTATTCTTTATCTCTTCTTTTATTATAAACTGGATTATATTTTATTATAGATTAACTGTAATCGGAAATAATTTAGTTGAATGAATCTGAGTTCCTACAATGTTATTGACTCGAGATTATAGGGCTTTGGACGATTTTATATTTGCAACTCGTTCAATGCTAACTCTTAAATTAAATAATATTAATTTATATATAATATTTCGGACATCTAACACACAACGCCATTTAGTCTCAAACTAAGCAAAGCTTGTACTATATACACTTGTGTATATACTTTTTGTTGTAAATACATACTTATTATACATAGAAAAGACTCAAAGTCCGAAACAAATATTTGCAGAGCATGCAAACATGGATGTATTCTTAGACTCAAATATTTATGTGTGTAAATCCTTGGAAAAGGATAGGTTAGAAGAAGAATTGTTTAAAACTGTAGAAGTTTTTAAAGATGACGACAAATAGGACTCTCTTTTCTCTTTCTGGTTATCCTCGTCTACATCAGAAAGAGAGAAGGGTGGGTGTTTATGTATCTATCTTGTTCTTTCCAACTTTCATCAGTTATTTTATCTTCATATTCATTTCTTTGAAATATGGTATGGCTTTGGAATCTTTCACTATTATTATCTATTGTATTTTAACAAGTAGTTAGAGCTTACCTGGATCTGTCGCGTCGAGGGTCTGCGGTGGGGGCTGGCTGAGAGGCCCAGGAGTGCCTCCGGAGCCTGGTGAGCGTACGTCGTCGTTCACCGCGCCGCCGTACGACAGCGACGATGACGGTGGTCTCTGTTGACAACATACAATAATTTCATGAGACCTTTAAACAATTCATTATACATACAGGAGTTGGTTTGGAGTGACATGGATTCAAAGAGAGACGTTTAATCAAAAATATGGTATTTACACTTCCTACATTATAACTTGTACGGGGCGGACTATGTAATTATGATCTTTCTTTATCAAATAAGTCTTGATTTGATTTTATACAGGCAGTTTATGAACAGACGGGTAACCTGATGATATGTCAAGACACAAGTGCGTTAAAGCGCTTAGGCCCCCCCCCCTCTTTCTCCTCCACGAGAATTAGATCGGGGTGCCAGACCTCCGACAACATTACTCACTCGTCATAGAACGCACCATCATCGCCTGACATCAGTTTTCAGACAATGATGAGTGTGATCTGTAATGTTCTGTGTCTGGGTGTAATTTATCTCTACTATGTATGTATTTAGAAATATGTAAGTATGGCGGCAACAGACATATTACGTAAGTAGGACCAAAACTGTAGTTAGCAAAAAGTAGAAGTTTATACACCTCTGCCTAACTCTTCAAGGATAATAGTATATTTTCTCTGTATTCTTATTTATTTTTTACTAATTATCTTTTTTATATTTGTATTCTTAAAATTGTTCTACTTGAAAATATGACCAGAACGATCTACAAAAAAAAACATTGAACGCGGCGAAGATCAACCTCAAGATGTTTTTATTTCAATGCACTAAGTTCCTTTTTATTTGAGCACCCCTCGACATGGAAGACAATACAAAACCGCAGACGAACTTTAACAAGATAACAGCCGTGTTTTATTTCAATTATTCAATTAAACATAATTTGGTCCTTTGAAAGCTTCGGAGTCCAATAGCCCGAGTCGAACAACTGTGCTCGCTCGGCCGAAACTAAACAGCCAAGTGGATTCTTTTTTTACCTATTTTGTATCGGAAATAGACTTTAAAAACCGCATTGATATTAGAATTTAAAAAGCAAACTGGATTTTTTTTAAATGTATCAAAGTTGTGCTTTTCGTGGGGACATCTTTCCGCCATGTTTAACTTTGGTACTCTTAGATTTTGGTGTTCTATTTCAGGGGCGATTTCAGTGCCTGTACAATGGTAACCAGACTGCTGTAAAACACACTTATATATTTCTAAATATACTATTATATACTATTTATATAGTACACCCAAACACAGAACAAATGACCGTGCTCATCACACAATTATTTGTCCTGGGTGGGAATCGAACCCATGAACTCTGGCGTAGCAGTCAGGGTCCCTAACCACTAGACCAACAGGCCAGTCAAATACATCATTACTTAGTTGTAACGCCATTTGTACATGGTCATTAAATTGAAATACTATTGTATGTATAATGTACTGAACTGGTGTACAATAAAGATTATTCTATTCTACTCAGTGATAGTAATAAGTCTTCTGGAAATAAAGTTAAAAGATTCTGATAAAAATCAAATAATATTATATTGCTGTAATTTATTCCTCTTTATTGACCTGTTTTTTTTTTAAAGACAACTCCCGCATTAGGAATATATCCTGTGTTGGCGGGGGACTTTACAAACGTACACAAAGAACACCCAGACTGAGAACAACAATTTGTGGATCACACAAACTGTCGTCCCATGTAGGGTTTGAAACCACAACATTCGGCGTAGTAGGAAGCGTGGCAACCGCTTAAATCACTACACCAATTGTGCAGTGAATTGTTGTAAGGCAGAATCTTGGATGGTAGCATAGTTAAGGTGTTCATAAACCCCAATATCTGTTAACTCTGTGCAGAACCCTGTAGAAGTAGAACCCGCTGAATATTGGACAAACTTTAAACCAAAGGCTGTCTCTCTAAACATGCACATCATAAGCCTGCACATGATACCTACACAAATGTTCACCATCATAGTAATAGTCCCTCTATCCCATTACCTCACGCCAAAAGGAAAGTGTTACCATTCGGTTATTGTCGCAACAGTTCGGAAGCGTTCGGGCGGTAATGAGCCGGCGCACACGCCACTCGGCCATTAGCGCATGCGCAGTACACACCTGCCGCTAGTCTCTTGTAATGAACAAATTATGAAACAAGGAAATCTCTGGCTATTCTGGCGTTAGATACTAAGTTAGATGGTCTATTTACGATATCTTATATATCTAATCTTTGTATCTAATGCGGTTTCTGATTATTTTGTGTAGTTAAGTTACGAAATGCACTTTAGTGCATCGATAGTAATTATTTGTAGTAATTGCTTCTGACTCCAAAGTTAAACTAGCGATATAACCCAGTAGAATATCGATAATAATAAAAATTCGAAATACCTCACACGCAGTCGTCTCATCCTAGGCTGGCAGAGCCTGTAGTATCGTAACCAAACTGCTGGTAAATATACTTTCGAGTATGTACGAGAATGACTAAATATCTATTATATGCATGCGGGCTAGCTCTTACAGCATACTAGCCAGGATTGTAGAGAAGTTAGATTGCAGGTACATGTACTGTAGCGCCGTCTCTCAAGGAGTGCATAAAAGAATTATTGTAAATCTGCACGGACTTGATTGCACAGCGTAGTGGTTTAAGCGGTCGCCACGCCGCTCACTACTACGCTGAGTGCTGTGGGTCCGATCCCCACATGGGACGACACTTTGTGTGATCCACAAATTGTTGTCTTGAGTCTGGGTGTTCTTTGTGTCCGTTAAATGTATGTTTGTAAAGTCCCCCCGCGACACAGGATTTATTCCTAGCGCGGGAGGTGTCTTTTAAAAAAAAGAAATCGTCTCTACTAATATAGGATAAGTTTTATGTATTACTAACAAGCAATGTGTCATGGTTACTCTAATAAAAATGAAAGTTAGATAAATTACACACAGCTATGGAAAAAAATGGTCGTTCTCACCATACAACTATTTGTCCTGGATAAGAATAATACGTACCATACGTACTCTGGCTCAGCAATCAAGATTACTAACCACTGGTATAGTTTCAGTTTCCAGAACTATACTGTAGTTGTAATCTTTGCCAGCCCATCATAATCACTTTCCTGACCCGTACTAAATTATATTTAACGTCAACGCAATGTTTCAGTATAATTGGTTTTAGTTTACTTGGTACATATCACAACTTATCCAGAATAATGAAAATGTAATGCTCTTCCGTCCGTGTGGTGACGGATTAAGAATATGAAGTGTCACCACAACTATTCATCTTGTGGGTGTCGTAAAAGCCGATTAAGGAAGCAAACTACGTAGGACAACAGCACTGCAGAGAGAAGGAAAACTTGAGATAAACCCTATACTAACCCGTCTGGCCACCGTGGTATAGGAGGCCAAAACCTGCTTTCTAAGGAGAGACCTATGACCAGCAGTGGACTATTAAAGGCTGATGTTGAAGTTGAATGCTCTTCCGTGATACTTCTGTCACAGACATGTCTTGATAGATTTATACCTGTATTAAGGGTGACTCAGAAGTAAATGTCCCTATATATAATAAGTGATTGTCCTCTGCAATCACCGTTCAGATAATGGTGTCATCGACTACTGCAGTCCTGTGATATCTCTCCTTTTTGCACACTCAGGTTTCCTTTCTTTTCTCCTGTCTGAAGGAGCTTTGGTGTCAGGGAGGCTGACAATAAAAAACCCAGCTAAATCTCCTTGCAATGTCGCACCTTGTACCGTCTTCAAATAAAACACAGACGTGAAAATTAAAATAATCATGTGGATTTTTCATTTTTTTCTGTTTTTTTTTTATCCTGCTAGCTATATACTATTTAAATCACAATCAGCTATAAAAATCTAAACTACGTATGTATGATTACTAAGTCCGTGATTGATTGCGTCAATTTGGTTGTTACCGGTAATTACCGAAAAAACGTACCTACATGTTTAATTGCCGCCAGTATTACTGGCAACACTGATGATCGTTAGTGACGTCTGATCTATTGTTGAAATCGCCTTAATGGGTGCCGTAATTGGTTTTGTATAAAGACCACCTTATACACGAATAATTGGTAGACATTTCTTAAGCTTACACTGTTTCTCATAGATGATATGCTCACACACACAATCTGGGCACAGATGTTGAATAATATAATCACACGCACACTCAGGTTTAATTAAATTATACTAATGGCATGAATTATCCATATTAATTATATTAAGAAGCTGTTACGAAAAAAATATGCAATCATATTAGTGATAAAATAATTAAAAAGACTTTAAGTTTATCGTTAGTCATGGGAATAGCTCTTTCTAGAACTCTACAAATTGTTGATCCTGGATACTGCAATATTTGAAACTTTCTTTGTCAGCCTGCAATTATGTTATAATTTTAACGTTATCACTTGCAATCTAGCTTGCCGTTTGCTATTTAACTTTTTTATTTTTTATTTTAGTGGTTAAAAAAAAAACCACTATCTAGGTAAAACTATACCAAGGAGGTTATTTCTATTAAACCGCTTTGCCCTTGGCACTCACCATATTTAAGCTGGCCGCATCGTAGAACACCCATGCCTGTATCGCTACTGCTGTCAAACACACATCTCTTCACACCTCTATTTACCTTTGCCGATATCCTTCACACAACATACGGTTCCCGCCAAAATCGTGTTCGTATTTAGACACAGCGTTCTACAAAACGAACGTTAGAATTCCTAGTTCAAAAATAGAACGCCAAGCATTCAATAATCATTAGCGCGAACGTACGCGCAACCAGAGCAGATGTCTGGGATAATACGCGCTTTTCATTTGTGCGATCAGCTTTGCTAGTTCGTTTTAATTGATATAGAATTTGTTTTTGATAGTGGTTCGGAGGTGGAATTTGATTTATTTATAGTGCAGACATACACATTTTTATATTCAGATTTTTTTGATTGAAGGCGTTTATTCCAGTATCAATATTCTCTTGCCTGCTTCCTTTTCTATTGATAAATGAAAAATTGGTAATTCGATTTTAAGTCGAAGTCTACCGTAGTCCAGAGGGGACGATAGTATACTGTATCGTTAAGATCAGAA